GAGCTTGCAGTGCGTGAGGACATGTGCTTCTCTCTGGAGGTGTTCAGCAGCTTTAAGGATGGCAAGACTCACAATGAGTCTTTGCTCAGCAGGTGTAATCAAAGAAGCATTGCTGTAGATTTGGGTCCTCAAACCTGATGGACACTGCAATCACCTAGGGAAAGTTATAAAGGAATTTATGTCATGTCTCATCATCACTTATGACTTATCTGGTCTGTGTTGTGGACTGAGCTTGGGGATATTTTTATGAACTCCTTGGGTGATCCTTTAATGCAGCCAAGGTTGAAAATTGTTGTTCCCATAATTTGTCTTTTTTAATCCTGAAGCACATTTGGGATGTATGTTATCAGAAGACAGTCGCAAACTGTAGGATCCTAGTGGCTTATTTATTTCTTGCTTATATAATGCTGTAGATATAGGCTCTGCTCCCGAGCAGATGTTGTATTTATTGGATTCCTCAGGCACAGAGATACCAGAAGAGGAACATGGGAAATGCAATCCTGGCTCTTATTTGCTCTTACCTGGAAGTAATACTCCTCACCTCCATTAGATTTCAGTGATCAACTCTATTTGCTTGAACACACCAGTGCCAGAGAGGAAGAGAAGGCAATACATTGTCTAAGAACCCACCACCTAGAGCTCCTAATGCAAATGAGGATAGAAGGCTTCTGCATTCACTCTCACACACATGCACAGTGCTTCTTACCTGTTTATCTATGCTAGGTTAACTGAGGTGGGACGACTCCCCACACCCTCCCATGGGCTGTGGTCCTAGACTGAACAAGAAGGAGACAGCAAGATCCTACATTCCAAACAGCTGGACAAAACAGCCCTACAGACTACAGCTAGGATATCTGAATCTTCTTCGAATCCCCCAAGACAGCGCCCCTTACCAGCAGGAAGTAGTTTGGAAAGAACGACGCCCAAATTCCCAAATATTGTGTATAAATGTTTGTTTTCATTTAATTGGACTTTGTTATATAAAATTAAATAAAAAATACTCTATATGCAAAAAAAAAAAAAAAAAAAAAAAAAAAAAAGGAGACAGCAAGCTGAGCACATGCCCTCTGCCTCTTGACTGTCACGGGAACACACTGTAACCCGGCACCTCAAGCTTCTGATGCCTTGGCTTTCCTCGATGATGGACTGTATCCTCAGACTGTTAGCCAAAACAAACTTCTTCCTAAGTTGCCATTGTCAGGGCATTTTATCACAACAATGTGGAAAATAAGTTATACACATTTTAATAGCTATCAATTAACACAATTTATCTTCACAAAATCCTACTAAATAGGTCGGTCATGTTATGCTCATTTTTTTTTTCCATAAGGAGAAATTATTCTGGTTCTTATAAGCAGGAAAAGAAAGTCTGATTTCTAAGTCATCTGGGTGTGGGATCCAAACAATGAGTCTTTGCACTGTATTACTTGTCTAGTTTGCACTCCACTAACAGATTCTGAGCTTGTATAGTTGGGGTGGGGAAGGAGAGGTTTGAGGTCTAAATGTAAGTGTGAGGCCTGATGCATGCAAGAGAATAAATCAAAGTTTGTATCTTTCACTTTTAGTGGTCTAGAAGGAGCATGCAGTGAGACTTGGGGTGGGAGCAAATCAAAAGGATGGATGCTGTTGCTAAGGAGGCTGACCCTAGAGGACAGCGTGGAGAGGAACTTATGACCTCTTTCTCTTTTCTTTCCTATCCTTCCACCCAAGCCTCTCACTTAGTACCTGCAGATTTCACAGTACATGTGTATTGGGATAGCTCAGAAGACAGTAGAAAATAAGAGAAGAATCATTTCATTTCTATAGGGAGTGGTATTTGGGCCATTTGTACACAAGGACCCAAACATTGCCATTTCTAGAAAAGTGAAACATAATTACAGATACTGACTCTTGTGCTACATGAAACAAACAAACAAACAAAAACCTCCAGAGGAGGAATCCTTCATAAAAGAATTCTTTAGGGAACCAGGAGAGATTACAAATCATCAATACTCAATAAGTTAATTTTTACGGCTTTCCTTTTATGTTGCTTCTTATTAAATCAGAACACACCTACAGTTTACCCAGGTCATTCTGCTGATCCTAGAGGCAGCAGACACTGCTGGAGATCAGAACTCTTGGTCCTCACAGACAACACCTTTCTAATTACCATACCTCAAGACACAGTAGAAAAAAAAAAAAAAAGCACAAGTAGTTCTGCTTTGAAATGGAATTTTGGTCATAAAATAAACAAATAGAGAAGCCCTTTTGTGACATTGAAGCTTTTAAATTCCCAACTCTCTCACCTGTTCAGTCCTGTGGTTTGGTCACAACATATGGACACTGTCTTCAAAAACCTTTGAAAATGCTGTATTGGCATCTTGCTGCAGTCTGCCCACACACTCCTTAGGGCCAGTCAGCCCATATGCTGCTGCTTGCTGCTGCTGGTTAATTCCTTCCACAGCGATTTGATGGGGAGGTGCTGGAGTTGTTGCTAAGGGTTTCTCTTTCCCCTAGCTCTGAGTTATGGCAATAAAGATGGCTGAATATTGTTGACCATTGCCACAGGAATCCAAGATCAAGTTATTACTTACAAGGAGCCCCGATGATGGGCCAGGAAGCCTTAGGATAGTTCTTATGTCAAGCGCTCTGAAGTACTGGGTCCTCTTGAATGAGACACTTCATCCTTCCAGGTATCACCTTTGGCCTGAATAGGAATTTTAACTGAAAGATTAAGAAAAGTGTGTAACTGAATGCTTTGACATTTGCCCAGCTGTTTTTTTCCCACACAGTCGTTAAGATAAGGCAAAAGTTATAATGCTGTGCAGAAATTAAGGATTTAAAAAAAAAAGGAGCATGTCATTTTAATTAAATCTGTGCATGGAAATAAATGGGGACGTTCTACAGTGATTGTGTGACTGTGTCTTAATGGGATCCAAAAGAGTTTCCTCTTTGGGAAGTGTGAGCTAATACACCCACAGAGAAATGATTAGGAACGGAGATATTTATATTAGATGGGAAATGCTGGGAAGCTAAGACTTTAAATCAATACCCAGAGGCTAGATGTGGGCAGCTGAAGATGTGCAAGAGAGCATATAAACTGGAAATATTCCCTGATATTTCCTGTCAATGTTGATAATAGAATTACCGTACCATCCTAGAAATCCAGGACAGAAACCCATGCAATAGATACGTACATGTTTTTAAACATTAGGCCAATATATTCACCCCAGGCAATGGCTGATTAATCTGGGATCTTTTGAGTACAGGCCACTTAGGAAAACAGGGTTGGGGAGGAGAGTGAAGTGTATATTTAAGATTGAGGTTGTAGTGCTGGGTCTGGGTGTCAAGTCCTTATCATTATTTCTGTGGCCCAACCCCATGCATACCCTGTGAGCTGCAAGGAGGGATCTGTATTTCCTTAGGTGCAATACTGACTCCAGCCTTTGGCAAGCTAAGCACATAGACCCAATCTGTGCTGGTGTCCCTTGTTATTTAACTAAGGGCACCCCAGTGTATTGAAGGAGCATTCTAACTGTAGGGGGATTAACTTGCCTCCTCAGCAGGGCGCTGCTTCAGATGGAAGGCTGTAATAAACTTGTTATTCCACCAGATCTCGATCCCCCCCCCCCCCCCCCCCCCCCCCCTGCCCCCAGAAGGAACCTCTGCAGAACTAACATTTTTGCTTCCTGTCCACCTTTTAGGTTTTGCTCAGCTGTCCAAGCTCTGGGTGAACAGTGGAAATTTCAGAGAAGAGAAAAATTACCCTAGGGTTAAGTCTCGATTCCAGTGTTACAATTAACTTTCTGCCATAGGTGGACATATAAAGTAGGGGGAGAGCGAAGAGAGTCAGAGAGACAGAGAGAGGAAGGGATGGAGGGATGGAGGGAGGGAGAGAGAGAGAGAGAGAGAGAGAGAGAGAGAGAGAGAGAGAGAGAGAGAGAGAGAGAGAGATCACTTCAAAGGCCAGTGAGTGGTAAACAGGACCGGGTATTTCAGTCACGGGCTCCTGAGTAGTAAGTGGATGCGATCCCACCCTCATCCTCAGCTTGCCCTCTGTTTCAGGAATCTTAACCGGTGATCATTTCTACAAAAGTCACCTTGTCCCTGGCATAGCTTGATCACAGCAAAACAAGAAACACCCATTCAACTAAACTTTACCCTTTGCACTTGCTAGGGAGCCCCTTCTTCTTAGGCCCAGGTGGAGCTTCCTGATGGGAAGTTTCGGCTCTGCCCTTCTTTGTGGCTTGTGTTTCATGTTTAGCCAGAGGGCTTGTTACCAGAAGACGGTTAAACTCAGTCCTCAGCGTTCTTAGCACACTCCTTTAGGGATAAGGCTCTCAAATTTGCATGTCAAGAAGTTCTTATTGCATGTAGATGCTGCAGTCTGGAGGCCAAAACAATGCCTTTGATACAAGAATGTCCTGCTGCAGTTTGGGCTTCTCTTTCTTTCCATGTCTTCCCGCCCCGTTCTTACGTGTGCAATTTTCCCCTCCGTGTGGCTGTCCCTTGGGTTTGGACTGCTTCTAACAGTCCTACTCCAGTCCGGGTCCTGAACGTATGGGAGGGTGGCCTCTCCTCAGCCTTGCGCAGCTTCCTTCTCAGAGCTTGTACCATTTTTTCTACGCAAACGCTGCCAATTGCTATAGCTCTTGTTTGAATTATTCACTCTTTCATAGGACTCCTAGCGTCAAGCGAACTCTTTTCTGCAAGTTTGGATAGGGGTTCCAGCTCCCTGTTCTCCCCCTGCATTCAGGAGCCCTGGGGAAGATCCCCAGTCGCTTTGTAGGCGCTCTCGCGCGCCAAATCCAGCCTGGGGCGCAGGGCCATTCGGGACACCAGCTCTGCGCTCATACTCCATCTGGCTCCTGTTCCAGATAGTGGGGTTTCTTAGGGTGTCGAAAGCTCTGCGTTGAGGCTTCAGGCACTAGAACCCGGAGGGGGGCGGTAGCAGCGTCAGGTGGCTGCTCTGCGTCCCTGAGCGCCACCCAGTCACTTCCTATTCTGTGCGGCGCACAGCCTTGGGCTGGAGCTGGAGCCCTCCTGCACCTCGGCCCCAGGACCCGCGTCCACCAGAGCTGCTGGGGCTTGGGACGGCGGCGGGAGAAGCTGAGATGTGAAACCCCCACCCCACCCCGATTGTCATCGCCTTCTCTGATGCCTGTTTCTGCAAACAACAGCCCGCACCAGTCAGCGAGCACTTCTCTGGATCTTCGTGGAGAAAGGAGCAGCCACTGGGCGCTCGCAAAGCCAGGCAGAAGTTGGGCTGCCCTGGGCAGCTGTGAAACAGCTGCGTGAGAAGGGTGGGCTAGGAGACTAAGGGAGCGCAGCTAAGGAAGGGAAGCGGAGGTGCCCCTCGCTTTCTCCGAGATTTCGGAGTCGGGTTAGAGGGAGAAATGCTGAGCCCGCGTCCGGGCTCCTGCCTCCGCGGCAGCATCTTCAGCAGCAGCCTCAGCATCAGCACCGGCGGGACAGCGACAGCGGGGGCGGCGCAGGCGCACTGTGCCCGGCGGAGCCTGCAGTTCCCCAGCCCCGTGTGCGGCACCGCCACAGTCTGGGCAGCGGCGGCCGGGGGAGCGCTACTACCATGAACTGCCTGGTCCTCCTCCCCAGAGCTGCTCATCCGGGTCGGGCTGGAGACACAGTCAGGGGACCCCGCCGCCGCCGCCGCGCCCCCTTTTCTTTCGTCTCCATCTCCACCACCTTTTCCTCCTCTTCTTCTTCTTCCACCTTTTCTTCCTGCTTCCCCCCCTCCCCCGCCGCGGATCCTGGCCGCTGCTCTCCAAACCCAGGATGCCGGGGGGCAAGAGAGGGCTGGTGGCGCCGCAGAACACGTTTTTGGAGAACATCGTCAGGCGCTCCAGTGGTAAGGAGAGTTGCAGTTCAGAACATTCCCCACCTCCATCCCGACCACGGCGCCCCCATCCCGCCCATCCCATCCTTTTCCTAAGGGGGGAGGGGGCTGTAGGCAGTGGTACCTGGTGGCTTAGGGTGGGTGAGGGCCAGGAAGAAGGTGGTGGAGGGACACAAGTTGATCTGCCTCCTAAGAGATGTACCCCTTTCCACCTGTCCAGACCTCAGAGTAGGAACTAGGGAAGGGGGTGGGGTGGGTAAAGCGGGGGTTCATCAGAATAGGTTTGAATTGCACTTTAATGATGAATCTTTCCTTGTCCCATGGCTTCCCAAACAAGCTTCAAGCGCTGACCAAATTCTTAGAGCCAGTTTTTGGAGAAGCTTTCCTTTTAAGTTGGGAATGCCTGGGAAAAGTGGCTACTTCATCAATTTTAAGTCACTGGGCTAGCTTTGGGATCCACTGTGCACATATGAAAGTACCCCGTGTTAGGGCGAGCAGTCCGAGTTGAACCTAAAAAAGTCAGTTTTGGAACATGGGAAGTCAGTTACTAGGTTCAAATTTGTGTTTGTGTCAAAGTTTCACGTTTTTATTTTCTTCATCGTGTTTTGGTTTCTAGGCTACATGTCACCTATTTCCCTTGAGCAGGGGGGTGGAATCAAAGCCACAGTTTCTGTGCTTTTAATGCACCCGGGAAAGAGATTTGAACAGTGTCATTCTATCTTGCTCCTGCACAGCAAGGCTGTCCTGCCTCCCAAGTGTCTTTAAAATACTACCAGTTTGTGCTCGGTCTTCCATCTTTTGGATTGGAATGGCTATTTCACATTTAAGATCATACAGTTTTTATCTTCTGAGATCATACATCTTCTAGCTGTATTTTTTAAACCTCTTTTATATAATTTTAAGCTCTACGAGCAAACTGTATGGACCATCATGTAAGGGTTTCTCATCAGAATCCCTTCAAGGAGAAGTATGGAAAGGATGATTCTGCACCTGGAGTTGAGTGGGAAAGCAGTAGGACTGCTCTGTGCGGCTCCATGGTTCCTTGTTCTGACAATCATTCTTGGAAATTCTGTGTGTTTGGGGGGGGAGTGTTACATAGTTGACACGGTGTGGATCTTTTGTGTGGATGCTTAGCTGTGGATGAGAGGGGTCCACACAAATGATAATCAGACATAGAGATGTTGGCTCTAAGGTGGTAGATTAGATGACACCACTGCTTACATTGGCATCTCTTTGAAAACCGGGTTTACAAACCCGTCTTTGCAACTGTAGTAACCTAGGGAGTTTTCATTAAATGCCCATCTTGGGAGTTTGGTTTGGAGCTTTGTGACCCTTCTACTTTAGGTCAAAGTGTGATTCTGTACAAATCTAGGGCAACAGTAGCACATTTGGATAAAAAAAAAAAATAGCTTATAGTGCTGCATAGTCACTTTAATCCCTGTAATATTTTTAGCCATCCCAGTGTGAGGTTCATGTGTACTTTCAGTTTTTATGACAATATAAATTGAAATACAAATTTGTATGAATATAAATAAAAATATGAGTTCATAATGGCACAGAATGTCCATTGCCTTCTTTTATGAATATCTCACACAGGTCTAGACTACAGGGAGCATTGCTGTTAAAAAAATTCAATTGCTAGGGGGACTTTAGAGGTTATTGGAATCAGCTATTTACAGAGATATGGTGATTTTCTTTCAGATTTCTCTTCTTGAGTTGTTTCTACTTCTTACAGTTGTCCTTGCAAGAAGAGTTTTCAGGGAAGGCCTCAGAAAGCCACTCTCTTAGGTGACGAGAAAGACATCGAGAAGTCATGGGTTGAAGCCTATCATTGTAGTAACGAAGGTGGGACAACTTTCTCAGCTTGGAACTGTGGGAAGGTTTTAGAAAATGTTTCGGTCAGATGTGGCTTGGAATGGAGATTTATGTTGTGTGGCTCAGGATTGCCTGCTCTAGTTGCCTCTATCTTCTGTCACTCAATATATGAATAGTTTATCTTGTTTTACACCCTGGGATTAAAATGGTTTCCTAGCTTAGTGCTTCTTTTACTGGCTAACAAAGTGTGCCTGTGATTTACCTGTTTTGACATTTAAAGGCTCAATTTTCCATTGCCTATGGCTAACTTTGAATAGTATTAAGACACAAAACCTTGGGATTTTGTTGGGAATGTGTTATGTATTTGAGAATTATGGATGTCTATATGTAGCAGGTACCGCCAACCCTCAGCAAGCATCTCAGCTGAGAATTGCAGGATGTAATTGGTCTACACATTCATGTGGGAGGGCCCTCCAGTTGTCATTTCTACCTGATTTGGCAGAGAAGTTGAAAAATTCATCATCCTAAGAGATTGTTTAATTAAGAGTAACAGATAAAATTCCCTCTAGGATTCATAGATGGATCAGGTTTGTCATACTGAAGATTTAATCATTCACCAACTTAATAACATTGGGCATGAGCGACTGGCAGGGCTTCACGGGGGGATGGAAGTCAAGGAGGCGGCTTTCCCAGCCACTGATGAACTGAGGAGACAGAGGTTGACATTTTATACTGACCAGCTTTCCCTTCTTGTACTGTATCATTCTCTTTTGAAAAGCAGCTCTTGCACCGAAAGTCAGATAAACATATTTGTAGAAAGAGACTCAGACGACAGGAGAGCCTACAGACAAAACAGGTGGACAGACATCCACCCAGACATAAAGACAGACACAGGAGAGGCAAAAGGTAAATAATTCACAAAGACTGATGTAGAGATGGAGAGACAACCAAAAATACATACAGGTGGAGACAGAGACACACACAGACACTCAGACACACAGGCACACACGGGAAAGGAAGAGGAAGAGAAGGAGGGGGAGGAGATGGAGACACAGAGATAGATAGGAAGAGAGACACACAGGAACACACACACACACACACACACACACACACAGAGGGAGAGAGAGAGTGAGAAAAATGAGAATCAAGCATTTGATTGTCCATGGGTAGCTTGTGAATTGAGAGCTCAGGAAGTTAGGACTCTTATCAGACAACTTTCAGGTAATATAGTCCAAATGAGCAAAAAGGATGGCATATCAGCACGCAGTTTTTGAGCTGAGGATTTTTATAATCAAACTCTGAAGTCCTCAGCTGCAGTTTCTAGGGAAAAGTGCTACCTTGCATGCCTGAGTGGCCATATAGCTGTTTTACTCTCTGTTTCTCCCTGCTTCCCTTATTTAGTTGAGTGTTTTAAGCCAGCTTTGCAAGTTGTTACTGGTGACTATGTCCACAAAGAAAAACACTGTGAGCTGTTGTGTAGGATGTATACACACACATCTTATAACTAAGTCTCAAAATAGGAGCAGCAAGGAGTACACCCCTTTAGTTTTAAGATTAAAGACTTGGTAAAACAAATAAAAGGAAAAATGATAATTTATAACTTGTAAACACTGACAGCAAGTTATTTTCCCAAGAGTTTGTAAAGGTCAAAAGTATAAAGACAACAGGAGTATTCAGATAAACATTAAAAATGGATTTTTGATTTTGATTGACATATTTATAGGCTATGGTGTAGCATTTCAGTAACTGAGTAAAATGTGTAACGACCAGATCAAAGAAAATGGTGTACCTACCTCTTTGAACATTTATCATCATTTTGACTTAGAAATAATCCCACTGGCTGATTTGAAATATCAGATTGTCTACCATAGTGAAGTTTAAGTGTATATTTAGCTATTTGGATCAAAATAAGTTATCAAGAAGGGAGGGCTTAAGAATTGTGTGCAAGCTCATTACATCTGAACAGCACCACTGAGTAGGTATGGACCAAATCTGTGTTTGGCATCATCAGCACCTCCTTCTTCATTACATGGTCAATGTTCATGCGAGATATTTGCTAGTGCAAACCCAGCTGTAGAGAGATTTAAGCTTCATATGGAGTTAAATAACCGAGAGACTTTTACGTGGAATATTAGTTAGTCAAAAACATTGTATCAAAGCCCTCAATGTGCCCATCCCTGTAGGCAATGTATTTCACCCACATGCTCTCTCTCTCTCTCTCTCTCTCTCTCTCTCTCTCTCTCTCTCTCTCTCTCTCTTTCTCTCTCTCTCCGGATCCCTAATGAATAACCAGCAATGACTATTTTGGGTGAGAGAAAATTAAGTTTGCTATGTTTGAAAAATTATAAATTCAAGTCAATGCTTTTTGATGCGAAGTTATTCATTAATATAAGTACTATTCAAAATAAATTTTATTTTCATTTTGATGAAAAACGAGAAGTGTTGTTTTTCTCTTTGGGAGAAAAAGGACCCAGGAAAGAATTAAACAGTGAGAGTGTTACATGAGCAGCTCATCTTTTCAGAGGTCCTCGATAGCTTCAATTTTCCATTTTTATAGAGACAGTGGGCTGGGCAGGCTCTTCCTTTACTCTGCCACCTCTCCCTTGTAAAAAGAAAAATCCAAACTCATTTTCACACTGTAATTGGCATTTAGAAACATGGTGGTATTTTAAGAAACCCTCAGGTGAGGAAATAGTGATCTGGTATCAAAACAAAAAGGAAAAACAGCTTCATTATGACCCAACCTGGGAGGAACAGTGTAAGGCAGACAGTTTCTACTGGCCACGTCAGAAAGTTGTTGATATTTCTTTTCTTGAATGGCTTTCTGTAACATCCAAGACACTGTTCAGGAAATATTGACAAAACCACACATTGGTTTTGAAGTATTGGTTCACCCAAGTCTTACAATGCACCTCTTTAATGCTGAAAGTATCAGAGGTTGAAATTACACTCACCACTTCCTAAATTATATTGACGAATAACCAAGAGCATCATCTCACTTCTGAGCCTGCACCACATTACATAACGAGTGCTGTACACTGTCGGCTAAGGGCTGCTCCCCTCTGTACATGTTGCCTTCACTAGTGTCTATCTTTTGCTAGATTCCAAAAGTAGAGTGTATAAGAAATCCATTTACTTAAACCTCTTTCAGACAACCTTCTAAAAAAAAATTCCATTGCATTTTTAATGGAAGGCAG